TATTACCTGTATGGTTTGAAATGAACATGAAGTTGCTAATTATTATTAAGCCAACTGGGACAGATGGCTATTTAAACAAGATACTGTAGTTGTTTATTTGCAAAGCTTAATTTGCTTTGCTTTATGCTAAAAACATTTACTCTTGGCTTGGTTTCAAAACTGGGCATCCAAAAATGCTATTGAACTCAGTGCATAATGCTTTTGAAATGCAGATCTTATGCAAAATGCAGTATATGATTTCCTTCCAACTACATGTCAGTAGGACCTCAAGGTAACTTGAATTTTTACATGGTAACTTTGAATTTTTCTTTTGCTTTGCATACTTTTTGTGTGATGCAGTATCTCAAAGGCTCTCAACACTCCTGTGCCCTGTAGGATGGGTCAGATTGCTTCCTTGATTAGTCATATGGAACTCAGTTACAACAGCAGTTGTATGTAATAGACCATGGGCAGAATTTGAACCTAGCAAATACATGGTGGGAGCATTTTCTTGCAACATTCTATGAAAAGGTCTGTGAGAACAAGTGTGTGTGAGGAAGAGGCTACTGTCAGTGCCAGAGGGATGTGCCTGTATTTTTAAGAAAATGCCATGCCCTCTCCATCTTTCACTTGGGAAAGGAGCAGAAATTATCAAGACACCTTTAGGTTAGGATCTCATGGGAATGATGACACTTAAGGGCACGTTCACAGGGGCAACCAGGAGCTTCCAACCATACCTGCTATGTGGTAAAGCCTGGTTGGAACTTCCCATCCTGCACACATACACACCTCACTCACCCACTGCCTTAGCTGCTGCCCTGTTCTGCCTGTTGCCTTAGGCAGCATTGCTGGGGAACAAAGAGTATCTCATTTCCTGCTTAGACCACTGTACACCAACTACAGTCAGATTCCTCACTTACAAGAGGCATTCTGTGTTTTGGCAGTTGGGTTTGCACTTGGCCAAATCACTGTACTGACAGGGACACCAGGAAGGTTTGCCTTCTCTCTTCCTGCTCTGACATTACTGCAGTTATTGGCTCTACTGAGAGTAGATGGCAAACTAAATGTTCATATGCTCCAGAATTTTTCAAGTGTTCCCTTCTTCTTTCCATTTTGACACAGTTTTGTTGACAGCACCCAACTGGCCAGATTATTTAACTGCTCACAATACCACATAACAAATACATGGCATACAATATACTTTTCCTTACTGCAAATCACAAAAGGTAACATTAGGACTCAAACAAAAACAAATTACCTCAGTAACTCCTGGAAAACTCGAGTGGTTAATCAGTTACCTTTTATTTACATATATATGCTTAATGCTGAATTAAGCTGTAAAAACCAAAGGCTGATTTATAGCCCCAGTCAGCCTTAATTAACATTGATTCCAGGGGAATAGTAAATGTGAATAGCCTTTGCAATTGAGGTTGAACAATGAACTCACTGGGTGTTGTCCAATTTGTAGCATGATTTACATGGAAGCAAGCCCTTCTTTTTTAATAGGGTTACCCCTTTTTCATGTGTTGTTTAGGTTGGGTTATATATAATCCATAGATAGGAAGATTTGCTGTCAAATATTCTCCCTGATTTAGAGGTAGCCTTTACCATGGTCACTATAAATAAGGCAGAAAAAAACCCAATTTGAGGCTTTGCAGGGATTCCTTGTTCTTGCAATGTGTCATCACTTGTCCATTCCATGGCATATTTACGAAGTGGCCATAATGAAAGTCAGATTAAATGTACAGGATATATACATTTAATCAACAGCCATTGGAGTCAGTAGTGCTGGAAGAGTTATAAAAGCCCCTGTGAATGCAAATTTATTGCAAAAGAATCTGCGTCTTGGTGGTAGGAATATCTGCTGAATGGTACTACCTGACACAGAACACCTAAAACTTTCAAAAGTGAATTATTTAAGTGTAAGGTTTTGCTTGTAAAGCCGCCAGCTGCTGGATTTCAAGACTTGAAACCGTTCCAAAACATGGGACTAGGTACTTTATTTGTGCACTGGAGTAAATACTCTGATTTTACTGCCAATTTAAATGTGCTCAGTTTACAGTAATGAGCTTGTATAGGCAATACCTTGTTTATAGAAAGTGGAACAGGAAGAAACTAACATTAACCATTAACAGTAGCAATTTTTCTTGCCTTCAACTCTAGCTTTATGCCAAATAGATTCTTCCCATGTCCTATCTGAAATACCTGTTACTGTTCTTTTTCTAGATCTGGGGGATAAATGCAGTGTTTGATAAAATAATACACTTTGTAGTTCCAGTCAACTTGAATTGCAACACTCTTTGTAATTCCGAGGCATTATTTTAGTCCTATGGTCAAATGTATTTTTAGAACAAACACATCCTGTGTATTAGCAAGCCTGATGATAGGTGTTCATCCCAGCAGAATGTAGTTAACATTTTAAAATCTTTTTTAAAAAGAACAGACCACTTCTATAAGGGAAGAGTACTCAATTGCAGTTGCTACCACTTCTCAATTTCTTATTATATTCTTATATATAAACCTGGTTTATTCTTTCAAGACAGATCACACAAGGAACCTATGTCTTTATGTACATACTGTAACCTAAAACAAACATCCTTACATCCCCTCTGGCCATCTGCTTCTGAAGCTTTTCTCCCTTTCCCTCCCTCAGCACACCCACGCATGCTCTGGGCCTGGAGTTAACTTCACCAAAAGCATGACACTAAAATCCTTCCACAGAGGTCAAAGATCTCAGAGTTTCCTGGTTTCACTTACAGTTTAAAAAGTGACAATGATACACTAGAGGATTTTGGCTTATGGTATTAGTCACTAGAAATCACACTGGTGATTCTTTCTTTATTTTACTCTGGCTGGGTTAGTTCCAGAATGTCCTGATGGGGACCAGTACTTTGGTTTGCAGAGCAGTATAATCACTGAGCAGGAAGATACCACCCACGGACCTTACCGTCCAAGAACATGAACAGGTTCAAGATAAATACAGTGTACAAAGAAAGTGATAGATGGGTAATGGTGTGGAAGGTCCTGGGTGCAGCTACCTCTGAAAACCAAAACAAAAGGAGAGGAGCAGGGGTAAAGAAAGGACAGACTCTGAATGGATGGAAGGGCACACAGCAAAGTGGCTGAGGCTAGAGGCACAGGAAAGATGAGGAAATACAACAGAAACAACCATAAAAGTAAAAGCATATGTAATTGTTGGCTCTGTGCACAACTGTTACATTGCCAGGCTCTTTTCTAGGCAGGCACAGGTTCCTTCTGCCCATGTCCTGACAGCTGGACATGAGTCAGCTCTGAACCGGAAGCTGTATCACTGCAGTTAGTGTGGCACTCAGCCTGAGCTAATAAGCCCTACTGAGAAGAACACAGCTACATGACTTCTATTTGGCTTGGAGAGTAGGTTGAGCAAGCCCATGTCTGATAACAGAAAAATCTATAGACCCATCTTTGCCTTCACATGCAAATTGTGTGCAATTTCTTTGCTTTCTTTAAAATACAGAGGCATTTTAAAGTGTTCTCACCATGGTCTTGTCTTTTACTGTCACTTCATACCCTTTGGTGTTGCAACTGTTCATCTTGAGCTTTCTGACTGTATTTTCTCTTGGCTGCTTTTTTTGCTCCATTAGCTGGGGGGGTTCCCAGTTCAGTTTCTCTTCATCATGACTAGCTGTCTACTTGTTTCCTTCTTTCCTTGCAGGTATGTTAAAGCTTTGGTGATCCTCTTTCCTTAAATACCCAGCATGTGATGTTTAGTCTGCCTGATCAATGGGACAGTTTTTTGTCCCAGCATTGATGGTAGTTTTGTGGGGAAATTGGACCAATATTTAATTTGTTCCTTAGCCATGATCTAAAAAGATAGGTCAGTTTCTATAACCTGAGTATCTCTGACTGGAACTGAGTCTCCTGAATCTTTCAAAGGGTTTCCCTTTGCTTTCAACTCATCCACGCTCACAGGATCTGTATGGGGCATGGGACTTTGCTTTGCTTTAGCCAGAAAAAGGTTCCTGTCTCTGTAAGTACAATGTAATCCCTCATGCAAAACAGGGTGGTGAACATTCTTTCTATCTAGGGATAGATAGAAAGATATGGATAGAAATTCACTCCTGCCTCCAGTGAAGTCAGTGGTAAAATTCCCATGCATTTCAATGAGGCCAGAACCTCCCCTTACACATTTAAGAGTGTATTTCATGGGATACAATGAAAGAATATTGATACCTCAACTCCAAGGAATCTGTATGGTGCCTGGACTTTTTGAACACTTTAGTTCTTAGAAAGATTTCAAGGACAGAAAAAGTCTGAATACCTGGAAAACCTTTCACTCAGCCATTTCCTGGGGTGACCTTTTTCATGTTTGCTAATAAATAATTGCATCCTGTTCCTGAAAGTCATTCAGAAGAAAATAGCTGGCACATATGCAGCTACCAGTAAAAAAATCTACTTTAAATAAACTCATTACCTCTCTTAAGACAGCTCTTGTCAGCACCATTAAAATTCAAATTTAGCTTGCCCATGACAACAGAGAGTGAATTTAACAATTTCCATTGTTCCAAGCAGATAAACAAGTTAATTCTGTGCTGCAAGCCATCACTGTAGCCATAATCAACTGATTGTGTATTGAGGAACTGTGATGTTTGAGATTATTCAGTCTTGACTGGGTTGTATCAGTGACCAAATGTTTACTTACTGAGCTGAGTGATTACTCCAAATCCTTGTCTTGTCTCCAGCAGTTTCAAGGCTGTTTCTCTGATATAGGTAGTTCTATTTTGAGTTTGTATGTTAGAGTTTTTGAAGCAAATTTGAATGGCAACCATGTTAATTAGAGTTTGATATTTCTTCTATAGTGATACTGCCACAGAATACAAAAAAAAAAAATCACCTTTAGCCTGAACTCTTGAACACTGTAATTTTCACAGGCATAAATAAGTTTCAACTCTTGTGTTAGAATCTGCATTTTTTCCCCAGGAGTTGTTAAACACTTCTGTTTGTGCATGCAGGAGAGCTGATGGCTTTTCTTCCTTTTCTAGATTTTCATCAATAATGAGTGGCAAAATTCTGAGAGTGGGAGAATATTCCCGGTATATAATCCAGCCACAGGAGAGCAGATCTGTGAGATCCAGGAAGCTGACAAGGTAATGCATCCCGTGAATGGGCAGACATGTATAAATGGATCAAAGCAACAGGTCCAGAATAGCACTGTTGGACAGTATTAATCACGATTCCAAAACCCATCATGTGATCAAGCAAATTTTGTGAGCCTTTTACTGTTTCTTACCTCAATGCCTTTGTTTTTTTTCTTCTTAACAGGTTGATACAGACAAAGCAGTGAGGGCAGCTCGCCTTGCTTTTTCTCTCGGTTCAGTCTGGAGGAGAATGGATGCATCAGAAAGAGGCCATCTTTTGGATAAGCTAGCAGACTTGGTTGAAAGAGACAGGGCAGTTCTTGCTGTAAGTGCACATGAAAAACAACAGCCCAGTCACCTGTCAGTTTTATCTTCTGAGAGCAACTAGTTCATAAATGTATTAATGTGAATTGTATTTGAAAACTACACTCAGCTTGATGGCTAAGATGGCTGTCTACTTAAGACCTGATGCAAAGCTCATAAAAGTCAACAAGAATCCTACAGTTGACTAAAATGAGCTTTAAATTGGACATCAGACAAACAAATGGGTGTGCACGCATGTGGGTACCTGTCACGCCTGCTTGTAACATCTCTGAGATAAAAAATGGAAGGCTAAGTGATCTGTGCAGGCATTAATGAAATGGCAGGTGAAACACTTACTGACAGTCAACTGGTAACAGCAATACCGCACTATTTCACTCACGTACGAAGCCATCTAAACGGTGGCATTGTTAATGTTGTTTTCCGCATGTCAAGTGCTTTGAACTAAGCTGGTGAACATCTTAATTCCAGCTTTGTCAACACTTAAATCATCTTACCACCAGCATATACTGTAAAATCACCACAGGCAGAAGGAAGTGCACAGCAAATCAAGTTTACTCTGCCTGTCATTCGATTTTTATTTCTAGAGCCAAGTTCTTTACTGAATTGCACTGCAGGCAATGCTATTAATTGCTCTCGGGGATATAAGTCAGTGCAGAATTAGGCTTCCATTCTTCTCTATAGAAACTCATTTGACGGTTGGTGTGTTACACATGGGTGTACTTTACCCGTTCTTAATGATTTCTATTAGACAGCTATTGAGAATGAGTTAAGCTACTCAACATCTTAGGATATTTTATTGGATTATTTTTGCTAAATGATATTAGGAACCCCTAAGAGGATCGCTTATAAGATACTTTCAAAATAGGAATATTAACTTAAAAATAAGGACATTAGCTTGTTAATTTATGAGCTTCCCTAGAGGAGAGTTTGTTTATTTGATGGCAATAAATAAACTGGCTGTACAGTATAGATATCTCAGACCTCAGCAGGAGTCTTGGCAGCCATATAGAGAAAATTTTATATTCACATCAATTATATAAAGAGGGATATGTCCATTCTTCTCTTTATGGATTCAGATCATTCATATAGGGTTACAAGGAGCCCCTTCTCAGCTGTTATCATTAACATAACAGAACTGAGTTTGACAGGCATTTTTATCTTGGCTCGTGATTAAAGCAATCTAGCAATTATATATCTGGACCAAACACAGTGGCTGTTAGGTCCAAAATACACACAAGCACACGTACATGTATATGGATACACACACAAACCCACAAGACAGACACACACACATAAACACACACGCACATGTTCTTAAAATCATAGTCATTCCAGAGTACTCCAGAAAAACCAGATTTACTTTTTTTATGGAAAATGGGTTTGGGTTGTTTTCTTTTCATGTTTGTTTGCAAAAAGCACCAACAAAAGGGATCAGATCATTGTTCTGAACCTTCTGAGTGAAGACTATGCCAAAATATAACTGGTGGGTCTTCATTAAAATCTTTGTTATGATTGAAGAACTGTTAAGATGCTGAATACTTAAGTACAATATTCTAGAAATACTACTGTGCTTATATCTCTTAACTTTTTCTTGTCCTCTAGACTATGGAATCACTGAACAGTGGCAAACCTTTCTTGCAAGCTTTCTATGTAGATCTTCAGGGAGTCATAAAAACCCTGAGGTATTACGCTGGCTGGGCAGACAAAATCCATGGAATGACCATTCCTGTAGGTAAGGGAAATTAAAGCACAGGTATGCACCTAGATGTTCTCATGGCCAAATGACTTAGAATTACAGCTTCTTGAAAGGTGGAAGGGAACCTTGTTTTGGTCTTACAGTGTGTAGTTTGTTGCTGAATCAAATATTTAAAAGTCAGCAAAGGCTGGACTCAATGACCTGCTATTGTGCCCTACATGCACATCCCAAAGAGTGGTTTTTTCTTTTGTGTGTGTCCATCTGAGAAGAAACTATCTCAATAGCTACATTTAAATATTGTTACACTTATAAAAATGGATGCAGTATAACCTGACAGATACCTTGGAACACATGAAAATAGCATTAGCTGTATGTTGAAGAATGGTAGGCTTATATATATATATATATCTACTTTATATATGTATTCTTACTGCCTATACAAATCATTTTACTTGGGACTAACACTGGATACAAATTCATTTATAGTTTGAGTTTGTAACATTACTATAGAGAACTCTGCGTACTTATCAGATATATTTTGTCTTATTTGCTTCTTCCAGTTATTCAGTGGGATATATTTTATGTTGTATGTGTGAGACAAATGTTCATAAGTGCTAGGAAATTTGTTATTCTGCTCTTATTTTTTTTGTTAAAGAGATAAGAAAAAATCCTCACAATTACTTTTATTTAACAAGTCTCTTTGTCCTGCCCCTCCCTCCCAGCTGTTTTACAAATACAGGCTGCATTTCTGTTGTGAACATATTCATTTGCAGTCTGGACTAGATGTACCAAGTGCTGTAATTATGCAAAATGGGACATCAAAGAATGATTTTATGCAGGTGCAGTCTTTAGGATAAATGTGCTCATCTTTTACCTGCATAAAATAAATCTTTGGGAAAGCGGTAAGGGAAATTAACATTTATTCTATGGATTCTTTCTGCCTTTGTGGTGCATCCCGTTCACTGCACATGCATGTTTATTACACTTTACTGAGGGAGACCAGCAAGTAAATGAACTTTGCTGTTGCCCATCTATTTCCATACAATTTCATCATGTAACAGCCCACTAGCTAGGGTATTTGCAGTCCACTAGCTTTGCCTCTGTGCAGCAAAGCACAAAACTGTCAAAGTTAGAAAATCAGGTAAATTAAAAATATGGCCCCAGAATTTTCAGGAAGAAAACAGATCCTGTAACTCTTACTGCAGCATTACTCATCATGGTGTCTCAGTTATTAAAACTATAGTGTGTCATGATGATGTTTATCATCACTGGGAGATTTTCACCAAAGAAATGACAATTTTTCAGGTGTAGACTCTCTTGTAAGGACTCCTGAAGATTTGCACAGTTATTTTGGCTGAGATACAGAAATCATGGTTTTGCTGCTTGCACTTCCCATTTAAACTTGCAGAAATGCAGAGCACCCCATAAGTTAATATATACAGCAAATTTCCTGTTCCCTAATCTCTTTCTCCCTGGTCAGTGAATGCCTTCTCCTCACTCATTAGCCCTGCAGGTACACAGAATTTAAGTCAGTCACCAAAATGCATTGCCAGGTTAAGGAGAGTAAGTATTTTCTGCTTATTTTTGTCTTCAAGTAGTGTATCAGATGAACCCCCTTATTTTTTTTAGTGAAATAGGCTACACGGGGGAGAGGAAGACACATTTTCAGCATGCTTTCCCAAATTCAAGCTTCAGTGCTAACAAATCCAGCTATCAGTAGTGTAGAATCCTAGTCCAGTCGCAGATTTTCAAGGTATCAGTTCTTTCTCCTGGTTTAGTGCTTCTCTGTATGCGTCTAGTTTCGTGCCATAAATTTGTCATTCTCATAAAGCTATTTTAAAGCAAGGTGGGTGTTAAACAATGGGGCTCTTTACATTCATTTACCATCAGCTCATCAAAAGAAACCAAACAAGACAACAAAATCAAACTAAAAATCTGATTTAAATCACCTCTTTCTGTCCAGTGTGCTACTAAATCTGAAACCTTCCAATATTTCATCTGTTTTTGTTGAGGCTTCCTTTTCCTCTAAAATAAAAACAGGCAAGTCATAGACAAGTAGAAGAAGAACAGTGTGTTTTACAGTCACATTCCTTTTGGTCCCAAAGCTGCTGAAGCCTTCAGACTGCCCTTTGCTTGCTCCCATGCATAAAGCCTTGATGATTTAAATTAAAACAGAATGAGGCTAGACTAAAAACTGTTAAAACTAATAAACTGAATGCAAGCAAATACGTATCTTTAAAACAAGCTTCCCCACCCACTTTTTTGCTGTGTTCTGGTACATGAGGCATGTGACTGTATTATGACTGTTATGCAAATAAAATATCTGTGACAGAGACTCCTGATGGAAATCTGACCAGACACATCTGTGGAAGGTATTGCTTGTCCCAGAGTGAGATCCCTGGATAAACAGGGCTTTCTTTCTGATTAAAAAATAAAAATCTTTGGGCCAGGTGCTAAGCAGCTGCAAATTGATCTGGCTCTGTTAATATCAGTGAGGACTGAAGAATGCCAGTTTACATCAGCTGAGAATATTAGAATCAAAAAACACTCTTAAGACACATTGTTAGATTGGGTGTGGGATCAGACTGTCAGATCCCTCTCAGGCAATGTTCTGTCTGGCAGCTAGTAGAAGGATAAGAGCAACAATCATCATCAATAGTATCTTAGAATAAGTGTCATTAGCATAACTTGGATAAAGTAATCTTAAAACTCTAGAACGTTTTAAAAGTCTCCTATTTAATTTCTGTGCGTAAGGGTGCTTTCTATGCTAACTATTCAGAAAAAGTGATTCACTTCATCAACCTTGAGTTATTTTGCCATGGTAACAGCTTATTTTATATTATGGACAAGGAGGCTCTTAAATGCATCTTTGGCCTGCCCAGGGGCATCTGAATCTTCTGAGTAACTTCAAGTTGCATATGTTCACAAAGATATTGTTAGAAAGTAACTGCCAAAATCCCATCTTAACAATAAGTCTGCGGGTGGTGAACTTTGGAAGTAGGTGTCAAAAAAGGGCAGCTGTCTAGAGTCTAGTGGAAGAAAGCAGGGCAAGCAACTCTGCATGGGAAGTGTTGCTCTGTGGAAAGAACTTTCTGCCTACACTTGGTAGAATTAACCACCGCTTGTCTGACTTGGCAAGCAGGTTCAGGTTATCTATAACTTTATGTCATGAAGCATGCAGACATGTGGCAATGATTATGCAGTGACAAACTAAAGTCAGACAGTGCTAACGTAACTGTGTTACTGTTATGGTGTCACCATCCTTCTGGCTGAGAATCCACCTCTCACAGTACTACTGAGTACAATTTGGTATTTTTAGCTGACTCCCCTATGTGCCTCTTGAGCACTTAGTTCTGCCTGTATATACTTTTCTGTACTTTGACTTCTACTTTACTTCTGTCTGGTCTGAGTCGTCTTCCTATGGTCTGTGAACCACTGTTAGCAGCTGTGAAGGATAACCTAGAAAATCTAACTGATCATCTCAGTTCGTGAAACAAGTATTCTCGTCTCCACTGGGAAGTTTTAAAGTATCTAGAGATCAAAGCAGTACCATGACATTTTGTCAATGCAGAACAAACTGACTTACAACTATTTTCCTCCTCTGGCTAGCTGCTCTAGCTCAGGCTTTTATTGAGCAAATACTGTAAACTAGATGTATGTAAATAAGCAAACATGAAAAAAGTTCTCTCTAATCAAATTGAAGATCTGTTTATTTTGTGACTTGACTGAGGCTGCCCCAAGCTCAACCATACTTTAGTTCAGGACTGCAGATCTAGTGTAGTCCTCAGTTTAACTAATGATACCTTTCACCCCTGGAGGTTTTTTGCCATTTTTGTTCACCAGGGTCTTAAAAATAATGAACAGATGAGAGAGTTCATTGAGTGAGTAACTCCCTCTAGTCTCGTACCACCCACACCTGCTGTTTGTGAACATGCAGTCTGCTTTTCCTGTACCTTGTTGTCAAGCTCATTCTTTGTCCCTGTTCTTGTATTTGCCAAAAGTTTATTGAGAAAAGCCCATAATTTCCAAGTTTCCATTCACTTGGTCCCTTCATTTATTTATTCACCTCTGCCTTGTCCAAATGGTTTGCAAAAACTTTTCTTATTTCCTGTTGTCTTGTTTTCTAGCTGCATCCAACTTTTCCCTGTCACCTTAAACTGACTGCCTGTTTAGCTTGAGGCCATTTCTGACACCGGCCTTGATCTACAAGTCAGCTGTAAGAGAGTGGCTGTGTGACGACCCCTGTATTCTCCTTCGTGTTGTCTCCTACAGTAAATTATGCTTAATTACACATTAGTCACAGGCTTCCTATTTTCATTCCGCACCTACAGAGTGTAGTGTATCATTCAATTACTTCAAAATGCCTGTTTCTGCAATACAAGATGAGGAAGATGTACGTTACTTTATTATCCCACCTCTACTTGTATACTGCTGTGTTCCAGTCATGCCTCTCCGAAAATTGTCTTTGTGACACTTCCTTCTCTTCTATAACCCTGAAATCAGCAGAGGACAGTAAGTGGCTTCATTGCTACTGCCCTTTTCTGTGCAGTACAACTTGTCCTCTTTCCAAAAAGGATAAAGCAGGTTACTTACTTTCTGATGGTATGCCTGCTTCCCTTGTTCTACCAAAAGAGCACTTAGGTTGATCCTTGAGCCTAGGTTTCCCATGCTGGCTCATGAAAAAACATTTCCATGACTTCTTTATTTCTTTTACTGCCATCAAAGGCTGATCCTTGGAGCTTTATCCCCCTCTAATTTTTTTTTTTGTTCTGCCAAGTCAAACTGCACTTGAGAGTAACCATGCTCATCTGTTTCAGATGGAGATTATTTTACGTTTACAAGACACGAACCCATCGGAGTGTGTGGACAGATCATCCCTGTGAGTATCTCTACTAGCGCTTTCTATTTATTTTCATTTGAACCAGCTCTCTTTAAAGACACATAAAACATGGTCCTCAGCTATGTGTGTTTTCCATTACGAAAAAAGCTGAGCTCATATTGTTGACATATCTTTAACAGCCTCCCTGCAAATGCTTATTTGAACATGCTAATAGGGTTTAGGGTCTGTTATTAGGAGTTAAGTTCTCAAGTCATAGAATTCTCATGATTAAAACAAGCAAAGCAAAACACAGTGTTAATATGCTGTCAGTGGTTATGGATGTTCACACAACTTATGGAAAATTGATGCTTTGCTGTGGTAGTCTTTTTATTTATTTAGTTTTTACTGTGATTTAACAGGCTCCTCAATTCCTGGGAGAATGTGATGCATTTTAATTCCATTCTTTCCTGCCTATTTCTTTTACAAGAGTGGAGGAGAAAAGGAAACTCCAGGAGACAGATCATTACAATTAACATTGCGTAGCTAATAAAAGACATGAAATGTTTGTTTTATTTGTTCTGAGAGAAAAGCACAGCATTTCATCAAATCTAATACTCCCCCTACACCCCAGTACACATTCTTAATATACTCTTGCTGAACAGTGCATGGGAATTGCACTGAGAGGCTAACTTTTTCAGAAGAACAAGTTAACCAGCTTTGGCAGAAGTTTCAATGGGAGGCTCACATATAGCTATTAAAATACTGTGGAAGCCTTTTTTCCTTCCTAAAGCACTGGGGAACTAATCAGGACATTCTCTGAAATTTCTGTTGGTGTTTTTTTGTTTTGTTCATGTTAACCACAAAGCCACTAAACAGCAACATGCAGCAATTCCATTAACGGAGGAGCAGCCAGAAAAGATTACTTTAACAACGTTAAGCCCTTTTTCCCTATTTATATTTGTTGTTATTTCATGTCTTTGTTAGGGGGTGGCTATTGTGTTTGGCACTCAGAGAAACATGCAAATGACTCAGAGAGTCTGTGGCTACACCCATCCTGCACTTATGTACTCACAAGTGGTCCTTACGACTGAAGGATTCCACAGCTCTATCCATTCTTCAGCCAAGCACATGGATAAGCATTTGCAAAATGGCAAGCCAAAGATCTAACCCCAGATTTGCTTGCCATCTCTTAGGCTTGTCTCATTGAGCTTAACTAACAGATCTGTTGAAGAAACTTGGCCACAGGCTGAAGATCATGCCAAAAGCAGGATTTCTTTAGTTTAGATTTGCAAAACCCTTTGTTCAGGGTACCCAGCCGTCTACCATACTTGGTCATTCCTACCCCAAGTTTGTCCTCCAAAACTCCAACATGGCTGTCATACACATCTATTCCAACGCTGCTGCTAATCTGCTACATGCTGCCTCCGCAGCTACCCGTCACAGAGTAGAGCCCCTGGGCTGCTGCGTGCACTTAGTCATTACACTAGCAAATATGTTATTACAAAAATAAAATTTAAACAGCAAGCCTCACACTAAACTCCTCAACCTCTTTCACATCCTAGCTTCCATCAAAACATACGCTCTTTGGCAGCTTTTAGCATAAACAGGGCTATATACCACCCTATAAAACCTATCAGAGCTCTCCTTGCAGTACAATTAGAAGCACAGGCTGTTAGCACACTGTTGGCCCTATAGCTCCCCTCCCAGGTTTATATACTGGAGATGGAATTAAAACATCACTTTGTCTCCAGAGTTTATAAACAACCGAGGGAGTAAAAAATTGGGTGTTTGGTGAAGGAAAGACAGTTGTGTATTTTTCCAAGCTAGCCAGGGGCTAGAGAGATGTCCATGAGCATGGCAGCTGATATGCATCAGGCAATAACAAGTTCTGGCCAGTGGCTGACTCTTTGTGACTGATACTTTCTATTTTTCTTTCCAAAGGAGATTATTATATGCATTTATAAGAGTGATTGTGCAAAGCAGTTATTTTATTACTCTGGCATTTCCACTGAAACCAGGGGGGCTATCCACTTGACCTGTTAGGAACTGGCCTTGATACAGAAAGGCTTGTTACTCTTATCCATAACTTGTTTGTGCATCAGAAGAATGTAATTCACTACATCTGCTGCTGCAGTAACATGAAGTTGAAATTAATGATGATACAAAAATTTATATCAGCAAAGATATATCAGTTTTGCAACTTGGTTTTTGCTGTTCTATTAAAGTCTTACATATAAATTGCTCAGTAAGACGTTTTGAAGAACATGAAATGCTTTGCCCAAGCATTAACATTTGGGGTTTTTACTGCAATCCCATCAATTAAGGGTTATATCTTTTGGGTATAAATTTTATATCTAGGGATGTATTCAGGGATAGAAAATCTGCATCCAAAAATGCTTCAGCATGAACAAACAGAATGTTTGTTCCAAATGTATCAGAATTCCAAATGTATCAGAAACAAGAAGTATTTGTGATGGGGGAATCAAAAGTGCCAATTGCAAAACAGTAAATGAAATAAAAAATTGTGACCAAAACCATTAACAGGTAACAGGATTTCTTTACGAAGACTGCAGTTGGGGGCTGTATTTTATTGAACAGGACAGAAAGAACAAAGAGGTCACTATTGTCACTTTTTAATGGCAGCAATTAAAAAAGAAAAATCCTTGCTTTGTGCTGGGAAAGATTGCTGTTGAGGATCAGCCTGAGAAATGAGCGAGGTAGCAGCTTGACATCTTGAAAACAAAATACCACTGCAATATTTTTCCATCTATCAACTTTTATTTTTTCCTACAGTGGAACTTCCCCCTGCTGATGTTTGCATGGAAGATTGCTCCAGCTCTGTGCTGTGGCAATACAGTAGTTATTAAACCAGCAGAACAAACACCACTCAGTGCTCTCTATATGGGAGCCCTCATCAAGGAGGTAAGAATAAACTGACAGGAATAATGTCTCTGTCTCTCCTTGTGGGGAAGGAGCTACCAGCACATGCCTGGTTTAATGTGTTTTGTTAGTTTTCGTAAATCATGCTTCTCTTCATTCATTCCTATTTTGACAGGCTGGCTTTCCACCAGGAGTTGTCAATATTTTGCCAGGATTTGGTCCGATTGCTGGTGCAGCCATAGCATCTCATGTTGGCATTGATAAAATTGCTTTTACTGGATCCACTGAGGTAAGAGGATTTATAGATATGTTACTGTAAAACATGACTAAATACTTAGGGAGCCAGCAGTAAGTTGTTGTGCTACATTTCTCGCTGTCACTGCATAGAAGAGCTACATCTAAATAACAGTGGTTTGTCCTTCCCAGCTAAACTTGTGTGTCACAGCACTTTCAAACCAGAAATGGCTCCTTTCCTCCAGTCCCTGCTGTGCTCGGCACCTCAGCACAGGAGATACGCCTGGAAAAATATTGCTGGGATTTCCTGTGGGCTTATGAGGATGCGAATCACATGCAAGTAGGCAGAACATCCCATGTATATCACAGCACACATAAATGCTGCTTTAGCATCTGTCATTTGTGTATCTTGGCGTACTTGGAAAAAAAGGAGAGGAAGGGGGAAGATTGGGACAAATGTACTTCAACTTTGATGCTGCATTCAAGTATATTGAAGATGAGGAGGAAGTCCAAAAAGGAAGGAGTGCACAGAGAAAAGGAGATAGATAGTCCAAGATGCCAAAACGTCTTACTGTGAGTCTATGATGCAGATGTTACAGAGGAGGTTTGGTCTTCAGATGAAGGCTATAATCTACAGAAAGAGTAACAAATCCCTCAAAACTCAGATCACGTCTTGCTCTCAAATATGCATAAAGCTGGCTGTTATCAGGGTTGGGGCAGGGATGACAGAGGTACTCCAGACTCAAGTCACAGGAGAAGGGGCCTTATCTCATAGGCTGAAGGCAGACAGAAAGGAATCTCAGTAGGAGTTTCAGGGCTGGTTATATTTAGAGAGTGCTAAACCCAGCCCCTTTTCAATTCAAAATTTGGCAGCCTATTGTACGGAGGGAGCTAAACCCCAAGGATTCAGTCTGACTTTTGTATGTTTGACTCCCACTTGAGGCAGTGGGAGGCTTTATGTATCCCAGGGGTACTGCTCTTCACAGTGAGTCAGTTTGGTTTTGATTTGAGTTGATAAATTCACAGACCAAGCAGCCATATTAGATAGGTGTGGGCATCTTCCTGGTAGGCCCAGGGATTGCAGAGACCAGCTCAGTTATTTCAAATAAATTATTCTGGTGGAATTAACCTGTAATCAAGTTTGAAAGTCACCATTCCCAAGCTTAAATTGCCAGTAAAATGTGGCTGTGGTCGTATGCCTAATTTGCACAGGTACAGTTCTGCAATTACTATGTGCCTATACATGATTTTTTTTTTATGGCAGTTTTAGATTATAATATACACAGGTTCCATTCAAAGTCAATGGCAACATCAGATTTCAGATTATTCTATGGAATTACTCTAGTCATTACTTCTCCTGTAACCAATTTATATTAGCATCCTGGAATACAGAAAACTTTAATATGAGCTGATTACCCCCCATAAATTGAGTTGAAACAATTGTTTTCATAAAGATATGTGGTCTCTGTTTAAGATAAATATTCTATTATACAGGATGTTGCACTGTTTGGAGGAGGAAAATACAGATGGGTTAGGTTTCAAAGTTGTCTTTTGTAGCCAAAATAAATTTTTATTGTAGTTCCAGACAGCTTTAGTTTTAATAGGCGTTTAAACTCAAAAGCTGTGGGTTTTATACTAACTCAGTGCCTACCTTTAAAAGCCTTACTAATAGGAAGTGAAAAGCATTACTGAGATGAAAAAGCAGTTCTCTAAGAACCTAAAGCAAGAACAGATGGAACGTTTTAATGGAGAGTTAGTGTAAACTATTCCATATTGTTTCTGATTTCCTGTAACACTGAATTTTTGTAACAGCAAGTCAACATTGTAACATTTTAAACACAATGCTGTGATAAGAGCTGTACTATTGAGGCTCTGACTTCTCCAAAACAGATTTCAGTTTTTAATGAAGTAATAATTGAAATATTTTGTGTCTCTGGTCTTGTCTGAGGCATGTCCAGTGATGTGCATTTCCGATAGCCATTAGATACATAAATGCCACACTATTAACTTCCATTCCCATGTTTCATCCAGGTGTTAGTTAAGGCAGTTAGTAGTTTCAATTTCAGCAAGTTAATGATAAAACCTATCAGGACAACAGCAAAGATCTTCAAGATTAGACGTCTGAAACAGGTTTTTCTCAAGTTTTTACCGTGAGGTTCTTTTGGAAAAAATACAGTTTCTTTACAGTTTTTAAAGTTTTAAGTATATGCTTATGGCTAATGAAGACTCCCCATTTGCCTGTAAATATCACAAAACCCCGGCTATTTTTAAAAATAAAAGGGTTCTTTCAAAGACAGAAAACAGGCTGCTCTTCCTACAAAAAGAAAATAATGCTAATGATTTCCAAAATTTGTAGAACACAGTCCACAGAAATATGAGCCAAAAGGCCAAGTTCATGACCTTAACTCAGTAAAGCCTGACGTAGCCACACCAAAGATCCATCCAGCCTAGCACTTTATCTCGCAACATGACCAGTAACAGATGCTTGTAGAAGAAGAGAGCATGTGTAGAGTGATCCTTTCCTTGCTGTAGCCTCACAGCTTCTGGTAATCGACAGCTTAAAGATTTCCTGAGCCTGAATGTGCATGTGAACAATTGTGTTTAATAGCAACTGATGGCCTTGTCATCTGTGCATTAGTCCTGTACCTCTTGAAACTTCTGACCAGTGTGAAGCCTCAAGCCCATGCCTATGCAATGACAACACATAAATGACTTCTAATTTATGATACTGGCTTCTAACTTATGATGCTGGTCCAGTTTGCACTCTCCATTCCTTTTCTGTTTCTTAGATTCTCTAGTGCTTTCAAAATCAAGTAAGTAATTCAAGTAATTTAAGTGTTTTAAGTACTCCCCCACAAATAATATGTGAAAAATCATGAAAAGCTCCTTTTTTCTGTAGTACCATCACTGTTTGATTCCACTTCTCTTTCCTTCTGACCCTTCCTTTATGGGTTAGCTCACACACATTAACAGAGCAGTCTGCCAACTCTTTCATCCCTTAGCCTGCCTGCTTCTTATGAAACACCCTCCCATGAATCACCTCCTCTCTCAGTCCCCTAGTGCGTGGCTCTCAAAACTCTTCCCTCCACAGCTCGCTATGAAGGGTTCTGCAGACACCCAGCAGGCTATTCATTTCACTTTGACAACTGTCACACTGCAAGAAAGAAAATCATACTGAGTAGGAAAGTAAGCCTAAAAATATAGTGCCGCCTCAAACTCTAGCAGCTTGGCTTTTCTGCTTCTTTTTCTGCTTCTTGGCTTTTCTGCTTGCTTTGCTTCATCCTCTTCAGCAGCTTGTTTAGTGTAGGCATTTTAAGGAAAGTGTTTATTTTTACTGTGTTGTTTTCAGTGAACCAGGGCTAATCTATGATCCTCCTTAACTGAGATAATTCCTCTCAGGCTTGACACATTTTTTCCTCATTTTCCACAATCTGATGAAACTTAAAACTGCCAAAACCAATCTTTCTTCCACTTAATCTGACCATGTCAACACTTGCTCCTATCCCTTCCCTACCTTCTCTTGGAAGCCCATAATCAATTTAAATAACTCCTTACATTTTACTGTATTTCTCCTTGATCTTTCTGGTCCCAAGGTGTAAGGTGAAACTCATCAGGACCTCAGGAGTGGTTCTGTAAAGCTCAGCTATCTCCCACACTGTCCCAGTTGTACATGCCTTTCCCTTTTACTCTGCCCCTCTCTGCCTCAGCTTCTTCACTGTTCCATGTATACTTGTCTGTTTGAGCTTATTTTGAGAAATTACTAGCAACAATTTAATTACAATAAAACTCAGTCATTTTGTATTTTCTGAGCTTGCAAATAGATCCAAACTCAGGATGTCTGGCTTACCTAGACATTGGGTATACATTTACTCAGCCATTGTCTACTGTTGGGCTGCAGAGCTCAGAAGTACAGGAGAGGTTATACAAGACTCTGTCTTTCCCAGTTAAATGAACAGTGGGGCTTATTTATTTCCAAGACAAGTGCCAATGAGGAGACAATTCTGACACAACAGAAATGCATGGAGGTTTGGTATATGACTTTCTTATTTGCTGAAAGAACTTTTTCAAAGCAGCAAAAGTGAAAGGCCTTCAAATAGCAGAGAAAGGCAGCCATCAGGAGCTGCTTTACTCTTCATTTGCCTTTATATCCTCTTGGATCTGTGAATTCAGTTACAGGCTTTGCAAATACAGCCCCCAGCAGACTGCTGGGGGCTGTCTGCCCTTGTATGTATACATACGCTCCATTTCAACAGGAACTGTGTACCCTTAAGGTCCTGGTGCACATGGAATAGTTGGGTGCAGTATGTTCTGGGTTTAAGATTAGAGATGATTATGGAGAGCAAGAAGTTATACATTTTAAAATATGTGCATTTAAAGCAGTGGCTGCATTAAAAGATGTATTTTCCTTATTGCAAAAGTTTAATGATTTCTAGTAACTTCTGTTCAAAACCAAATGTGTTACTTCCAAATCAAAGTGGCTTAGAACTCTCTCCAGTTGTTAAATACTCTCAAGATGAGAATAATAGATAGCACACAAAATATTTGAAGCCCTGGCCAACAAGAAATGTATCCTAAGTGGTCAGTTTCCACTTTGTTCAAACTACAGCCCATTAAAATGCAGACAGACTAAAGACAGGAGTCAGGTCTGTGTTCGTGCAGTTCTGTAGAGTAACCCAAATAAATATCCAACAAATTGGTTTGGATGCCTGTGTAAACAAAACGTCTATAAACAACTGCAATAAACCCCCAGCAAAAGAGTCTGCATTTTGCTTGTCAGAATGTTTTCTTTATACACTTAGATTAACAAACCATGATCTCATCATTAGTCAACGAGATACTAGAGAGACTTTCAAAGCAAACTACAGGAGAGTCAAGATTGATTCATGCCAAACAAATGTTTGTAGCTAACAGCTGTATTATCACTGATTCTAATTTACTCAGCAGGATTCTCATTTCCGAAGCAAGATGAATGTCACAATGCATGATTTAGACAGAATGTCTACCTACTGCATGAGCAATGAGTTGTGTCAGCTCTCCTGCATCACAAAATCTCTTGCTGGTTTGGGGTATCGTAAAGAATTGCATCCTGGCATTTTTTACTTCAGCAACAAGAATCCTAAAGGTGATTTTACCTGTTCTGAGATGCCTGTCAGCTTCCAGTGCTATACACATGCCCTGCTCAATAGAAGGACAGTTTAGTTAAGTTGCATTATCATTCACTCCTTCTTCTGCTGAATCTTTTTGATTGTATCTTGAACAGCTTGTGCTTCCTGAATGAGAAGTAGTTGTTTCCCTTTTCCCTTTTCCTTCCTTGGTGTTTTTGGTTGAGGGAGCTCTCCTTAGACAAATATTGTGCCTCTTTGCCTGTAAAATCTACATGTCAAAAGAATTCACCTTCTTAAAACTGAAACTAATAGGGTGGTGTTTATCAGCCCTGTCAGAGTTAACAGCATTTAGCCACGGATTTCCATGGGGCCAGGATTTAACCAAAGAACAAAGGAGCCCTTTATTACTTAGGATTCTCTCTAGGAATTTCTGTTTGGGATTGCCTTTTTACTTGTGCTGCACCATTCACTATGCTCTTTTCAGGGCTGCTTCTCACACAGGGCACTACACAGTCAAATAAAGCTGCTCTTCTTCATGTCAGTATTTTAAAATTCACTTGGCTTTGCTGGAGACACACCTTGAACATGCCATGAAGGCCCTAAGATGTTTCTCAGAAAGATATTGCATACAATCTGGAATTCAAGAAAAAAATGAGGCAGGCTAAGCAAGCAGCAGCATGGGGTTGAAAGTTTTGCCAAAACCCTGACACGCTGTGCCTCAGTAGCTGGAGAGGGAAAACTGCAACTCCAAAAAACACAGAAAATTCCTGTCTGATCTTACAATCTCCCCAGAACTTAATCTCTTGTAACCCAAACCATTTACTGTTCTTCAGATGTTCTTTCAGTATCCAAAGAAAGGTATAGCAAAGGTGGGCAGTAACTGAAGATGTAGGTCTTCTCTGTCAATTTTTGCACTCTTCATGGAATCTTTTTATCTACGTATCTCTCTGTGCTGTCTTACCTTCACAGTCTTGACTGTGGCAGCATGCAAATAAATGACCTACTGTTCAGCTAGACTGCTGTTCCCCTACAGTCAGGTCTTTCCTAATGACTTAATGCATATCTGTGATCCAAAGGAGGTTCAGAGCAGAGAAGAAGCCAGGCATTCTGACAGAACTGTAGAGGAAGTATCACAAATCTTGGAGTTTTGCTTTTGACTCACAAGACTCCCAGTGCTTTAATAGTAACAGGCAAACCCACCTGTACCATTTAGAAACACCGAGTTCTGTCTAAAACCAAAGAAAATTAAAAGAACATGAAAAGCAACAGACTTTTTTGTATTTCTGCACGAAGTATTTAAAATGTGACTGCATGAGCCTCTTGAAAGATACATTAAACTTCCAAACACAGAAGGCATAAATAAGTACAATCAAATGCTTTGTGTCATGTATCTCAATGCCTAATGTCATACACTTTACAGTCCAGAAACAGACTCTTGCAGGACTGTTCTTCAAATCACCTTTTTGTACAGAGGTACCACAGAATGCTTCTTAAATCTACTGTTGTTGTTCTGAATAACAAATTGCTTTCTCTGAGGTGGGCCAAATTACATCTGCCTCACCCTCCATGCAGTTTACAAGGTTATGGTACTTCACAAGCTATTCAGGGATAGTCCTGATATCAATCTTGAAGCTTATTCAAAACAAGGATGGGGAGTCAGGGTTTTCTCTGCCAACATTCCTGCTGGATAATCGCACAGCTCCATTATCTGTGGGGGAGTCCTCTCTTCCAGCGTTCCCTCCCAAGGCTGTACTGCCTATTGGGAGCTTGCAGATACAGCTGAGAGACACCACAGGAAGCATGTACTGAAAGACCATAGAGATTGCAACACTATCACTTATCCCTTTCATGCTGTCTCTCTCCAGAAAGAGAGGGTCAGACAAAAGGCTGCCTTTGTCACTAAATAATCACAGTGCCTGCTGCCTTCCCTAAGCCTTTTCTCAACCTGTAAGTGCATAGGGCGCAATAGGAACACTGAACAAAAAATGCTGAGCAGCATGAGCCCTGCCATCCTGATGTATGCACTAACTTCTAATGGGAAGGACAGAGTGAAGCTGTCTGTTAAGTTTATACTTGGGAACTTGACAACCACCTCCCTGTATTAACAATACTCTGGACCATATTTTTCTGAATTAGCACTACTGCCTCCAAGCCCTTTGGACTCCAGTATTTGCCACATACATATTTGTCATATACATAATAATTGGATTTGCATATTTGTCAATCCCTAGTTTGTACAGAATCCTTTCCAAATCTTTACTTACATGGACATTAAAGTGGTAGAATGGAAGGCAGAGAGATGCAAGCTCAACATACTGCTTTGGCGTCCTTGTCTGTTCTGCTCTTTGTGAATTTTTTGAGTGGGAATAACTGGCAGTTGTTCTTTGAGAGAGGGAGGTTCAAGGCAGTGAGGGTGTGAATGGTATTGGCTGGCACTGGCTATAAACATGGCACTGTCACTGATTTCCAGTGTACATTTTCAGCACAGTTTGAGAGATTGGAATTTCCAGATGACATGCTCAGTGTATGTGGTGGGGGTGGAGGGCAGAAAAAGTCCTTCTTTTTCTTGTTCACTTCTGGCTGTCAGTCAAACATAGCAATAAAATCAGCTCCAATTAAGGGGATATGCAAGGAATTTCATGATAATGTCAACACTCTGTTCCACTGATACAGGGGTAAAGAAGAGAAACTCATTTTAAATTTATAGGCTGGGTTTTTGTAAGAAATAACCAGTCACAGTGGACTGTGGTATCACCAGATAAACAGTTAATCACAAAGGTACATGAAGCGGTTGACAATTCCTTCATTATCCTGTGGGGTTCTTGCTTTGTTTTTTTTCTGTGGGGGCCCTGGTTTCTGTTTCATTTGCTTTCTGATTACTCCAGTGCTGACTTAACTTTCTCCAGCAGATTGCCTTCAGTTCTCTTAAGAGATTCAGCTTCTCATCCATTAACCCCTTACTGCAGGGAATTTCACTCACCTGCCCTCAAATAGGAAACAGCTAGAGAGATCAGAGTACCATGTGGAAAGTCTAGCTCTGGATTCACTCCCATCTTACATCTAACTCTCTGCGTGATGACAGAGCATGTCCCAGTTAAAAGAACACATTTATCAAAGCTCTCAAACTTCTCAATATTCAATAGACACTTAATACTGTGTTTTACCATGTAGGGCCCAAATCTACCTGTGATTACTTCCATGGCTGTAAAATGGGCATAGTTACACTGCAACACTACAAATCTGATCGATTTTGGGTTCATTGATCCAGGGAGGTGAGAATTTCCAGGGAACACAAGTTGCCTCTCCATCTGTACTGATGTGGAAACAACATCAAATATGTAGCTGTCAGATTGCTACTCCATTGAACCTACCCTCATGTTCCTTGGTGAGAGCTGCAGTCTGTGGCTGCTCCAGCTGATCCCACAATCTACAAAGACATTTTGGAGGTGCTTTTGACCTCCTCAACCAATATTTAGATTATCTGTGGTGCAGCTGAGGGTCAGGTCTGGAATGGTGCTTTTGTAACTTCTTGCCCTACTTGATCTTCTGCTATGTGCTCTTAGTCCTGCAGAAAAGGCTGATGATTTCATCAGAATTTGACATACTGTGGCTCATGATTTCATGGTCAAATTACTTAAATGTTTGGGCACTGTAAACTGTATTTAGAGGAGAACAAATGCCCTCGTACACAGACTGGCTAGCAGTTTAGTAACTATAAATAGTAAAGGGTGAAATAAACTATAAAAGCAGTGATCATGTGGGGCAACTATAAAGAAGTATAATAGCAGTTATTATTAATGAATAGTAATATGCTTAGTACATGCTCAGATATCAGATCTATTTTTTTTTCCACTAAAAAATTATATAACTAAATCTCTTAATAATAGTATCTAAAAGCTTGTGAACATGCCACTAGTTTGGATGGAAGCAGTTCTAGTTACATCAAGTTCAGATTTTTAATTCAGCCTTCTTACTGCACCCTGAAAGCAAGCCCCAAGCTGTTTCAGCATAGATACAACCAGGTGAAGGGTACTCTGTGCTCTGCCTCATCCCTTCCTGATTTCTAGCAAAAAAGCCTGGAAAACTGTCCACTGCTGATGAGAATCTGGATTGAAGAACCTGCTGGCTTATTTAAAGCTCTGTTCCAATGATAGCCAACATTGGCTGTTAAAATGAACTGTATGACTACATTCCCTGTAAAATGTGTCTCCATTTCCTTTCAGGTTGGGAAGCTGATCCAAGAAGCAGCTGGAAAGAGTAATTTGAAGAGAGTTACACTGGAGCTGGGTGGGAAAAGCCCAAACATTATTTTTGCAGATGCTGATTGTAAGTCAGCACTTCCATATTTTTCTTACAAATACGTTTGTGTTGTGCTTTTTTTTTCTTTTCTTTTTTAATTTATTTTAGGGCACATTTTTCATATGAAGTGACTTGGCCCAGTAGAGCTGTCTCTAATGGCACTTTTAATCTTACAGAAGCAGCCTGAGGGGTGATATTTTTTATAAAAAGACAATATTTGAATCCACAGATTCAGAAACAACAAAAAAAAACGGAAAAAAAGTTACAGCCAAACATATAGAAATGGCATTATCCACAGTCATGGTCCCATGCACATCTGTCATCCTCAGCTCCACAGAAAGGTGGTTTAAGTGCTTTACATTTGGAAATGCTATGATTTTTTTTGGCTTCACAGCATTATTAAAAGGGAGGGCTTTAATTTACCCTTGAATTACTAATCTGGTCAGTGCAATATTCCTTTGTTAAGGTGTTTTGATAGTAGGTATAAATGAAGACTATACCATGTTTTAAATTTTCACAATTGAAAAATTGTGTATTGAAATATCCTCATTGCCACTGTCAGCAGGGAACTGAAGATTTTGGCAGCTGGATGATGTTGTGCAGCTGAGATTTTTGGCACCTGAGAAGGTACAGGGCAGCTGTTTAGGACAGGATAAAAACACAAACTAGAAGTCTCTACCTAAATGATCAGCAATGAAATAGCTCAAAATATTGATATCTAAATAATCAGCAGTAGATTTTGACATTAACACCCCACTAAGATGAATGGGACAGTTCACACCTTGCTCTGAGCTCTTGTTTCAGGTTGTGTGCAAGCATACTGTACTCAGTGCCTTCTCTGAGAACTTTGTAACCCAAACAAATAGACATAGAAGGATATGATCTTTTAATTTAGAGGGGAAGGCGAATAGACAAATGATTCTGAATAGCCCGAATTATGAGAGTTTGTCAACAAGCCTATATTCATCTTACAAACTTTCTGATATTTGGAAAACTAGGGAAAGCTGGAGAACTTTTCAGGAGCTTTTCTACATGGAAATGCTTCACCAGCTTGGGGATCTAAATTATAGCCAGTTGTGCTCATAAGCTAAAAAGGCTCTCGTCAGCTGGAGCCAAATGCAGATGTTACAGCCTTCTACCCCAGTTACTCATCCTCATCTCTCACCAGAATTCACCACATCCCAAATGTCCCTAAGCTACTAATTCAGACTGGATCATCTGAACGTTTCTAGTAGAGTAATATATGCTGGGGGGAGGTCTGTGTTATGCTCCTGCCTGCCATACAGAGCTGTACTTTATCTGTGACTTGCTGTATTTGCCAAAAAAGGTTGAGAACCTTGGGAGAAGTTGCAGGCAATGGGGGAATAACAGAGTGCAGTCTTCTTCCTGACTGTCTGTTCTACAGTATGTCATACTAAAGTTCTCTGGTCTTTCCATAATTACAACCACCAGTACCTGACCTGAGATTCAGACTTCAAAGCACCAATTATTTAAGAACAGCAGGCAATTTGCTCACCATTCCAAAGGAGCTGTTTGTTCTGTTTGAGGAACACTGCCAAAGGTTAGCAGAAAGCATGACAAAGCTGGTGAAAGTTTAGTCCACCCAAAAACCAGAATGGTTAGAGCCCCTTTGTGGTGGAAAAACTGAGGTAACAATAGAGGAAACATCAGTTAATCAGTTCTCTCCACTAGCGTTTTCAATCTCCATGGACTGAATTGGAATACAAAGATATGATTATGGTCCAGGGAACACACCATATAATTTTTTTCCCCACACTGAGGGCAGAATAAGACATTTCTGTTAGATGGATTTGTCTAGAATGTGTTGAAAGCACTGTTGCTTTGTTTATTCCATTATAGATTGTACTTTAAGCAATGCTGCAAAGTGCTACAGCCGATAACATGTATTACAGTGCTGTAGGATATCACTGTTTAAGGGTGGCTTCAATATTCTTGTCTAGTCAGCTATTACACCCAGTGGGAGAATTTAGCTCTGAATGTCTAAATACAACTGGATCCTCTCTTGCTTGGATAGTAGATGAGTTAGTTGTACCTCCAAGGAAGTTAGAGTAGAAATCAAGGGTTGATTGTTCTATAATTGACTGTATTTTTAAAGCCTTGCCCAGTCGTCTGCATAGGCTGAAAAGATGTTTCTGTCTTGCAGAAAAATAATGTGGCCTTTTGGGAAGGATAGGTGTTGCCATTATCAAAGTTAAATTCTCTCAACCACTTGAGATATACTCACGTATGCAGTATTAAATCGAGTGCAAACTTGCAGTCACAAATTTCCCCCTCCTCTACCCACCTGAGTCAGACAGACTTCTGTAATGTGGGGCACAAAACCACTTCCTAAGGTCTCCTATGAGTTTTATTTGATAAACTACATGCTGCTGGCATATAAGATACTGCTGAAGTTCTTGCATACCCTATTTCTATAGACTGCTAAAGTACTGTCTTAGTGTAACTTGATTTAACTTTTGCAGTGGATATAAAGCAATATTTTGTGACTTGTATCATGAGATGGCGTGTGGAATGTATTACTTATGGACCCTCTTTTACCTAGACAATGTCTGAAGTCCCAGGTGGTCCTTTGCAATCTAGTGTTTCTGAAACAATTGTAATATTCCTAATATCCATCCAGTATAGCTGTGTCCTGGGTGGAATAAACGACAAAAACATCAGCTTCAGACATGTTTAAAATCTCCATATGTTCACAGGGATTATGATGCAAAATGAAATGAATCACCTTAATTTATGACCCTACACAACAATATTATGTTTTGATTTGGTCACTCTTGTTTTATTTAACCAAACCCTACTTCTGCTTTGAAGTTTGGGGAATGTGGCACAATGTAATATGCATGACAGTGGTGTAATAGCACCTGTGTCTATGACGTTTCAGAGCAACATATGCTGTCTTGTTTTTTTAGTGGACTATGCTGTGGAACAAGCTCACCAAGGGGTCTTCTTCAATCAAGGCCAATGCTGCACTGCAGGCTCACGGATTTATGTGGAAGAATCAATCTACGAAGAGTTTGTTAAAAGAAGTGTAGAACGTGCAAAGAGAAGAGTTGTGGGGAGTCCTTTTGATCCAACCACAGAACAAGGTCCACAGGTAAAGGAACAGAGCTTTGATTCTACAGTCCAGCAGCTGCTTGAAGTATTTAAACTCTTCTAAGACAGAGGTCAGTCAGTGCATGCTCACTTGCACTCCAGGGTAGCTGACATGATAAGCATTTTAAAGATTAAAATTTTAAAGGAGTAGATAATCTGTGCAGCTGAGAGGTGCTTTTTGTTAAAGAAAAATTCTCATCTTAAATATCAGTAAGTTTGCCTCCCAGCTTTAACCACAAGGTTCTGGTCTTCAGCATCCAAGATACAGCTGTAAACTGTGAGAAGCTCTCAAAAGTTTCTGTGGACACTTACTTTCAAGAATTGTTTACAACCATTAACTGTGCTCACTGACCACTATAAAGACAGGAATTCTAAGCAAAAAAAATGTGCAGAATTACAAATAGGTCTTTAGAAAATGTTCCTGCCGCTAATAACCAGCTGGTCTGACACCATTTTCAGGAAGTTAACCTGGGACAGGAAATAACGATGTTTTGTTTGGGCTTAGAAAACCAGACTGCTTAGCAAGAATGTGGATTGAGCCACATACATGGGGGAACACATCCTTAAGAAGCCTAAGCCCTAGGTTACAGTCAGCAGCTATTTGTAGATCTTTGGCATCTACAGCTCAAAGAGCAGTGAATACAAGCAGAAGTCTGCTCTCTGGGACATGACGCCTAAAAAAACAATTTTCACTTGATTGTCAACTGTATGGTCTGCAAGTTAAAAAGCTGCTTCTCTCTTTCAGATTGATAAAAAACAATACAACAAGATCTTGGAACTGATTCAGAGCGGCATTACTGAAGGAGCAAAACTTGAATGTGGGGGCAAAGGGCTAGGAAGAAAGGGCTTCTTCATTGAACCAACGGTGTTTTCCAATGTAACAGATGACATGCGGATTGCCAAGGAGGAGGTATTCACATACATGGGCAAAATCACTTTAGAATGTCCTAAACATGACTTTTTTTTCTTTTGCTTACTTTATAGACAAAAGCTTTAGAGTGAAAATTACCGCTATACTTAAAAAAAAAGTAAAATCGTTAAATCTTTTCAGAACTCCTGATGCACACACAGCAACTGACAATATGAGTTGGGTAAAGAAACTATTTTTACACTGGCTATAAAGTCTCAGATCTCCAAGAAGAGATCAGGGAAGAATGGACGAGTTCCACTGAGAGACAACTGCTTTGGAAAATTCATGCAGTTTTACAGACACTATTAAATGATGCTTTGGGAATTCGTAAAGACAACAGGAGAGAAAAGAAAAATGCAGAATAAAACAGGAATAAAATGTCTCTGAGTGGGCTGGTTTATTTATTAATGATTAATCTTTCTTGCAGATTTTTGGGCCTGTTCAAGAAATACTGAGATTTAAAACCATGGATGAAGTTATAGAGAGAGCCAACAATTCTGATTTTGGGCTGGTAGCTGCTGTCTTTACAAATGACATAAACAAGGCCCTGACAGTCTCTTCAGCAATGCAGGCGGGGACAGTCTGGTAAGGCAGAAGTTATCACTCTCCTGCTCTTGGAGATAAAGACTTTGACTCATTATCGTTATGACACCTCAGTTTTGCACCCTTTGTCTGAAAAATGTTTATCAAGACCATCCTGGTGGTGAATCACTAACCAAGATACAGAACAGCTGTAGGGAGGTGTGACTGCTCACTGAGGGTGAAAACTGGAAAGTGCCGAGCTTGCCATTATCATGGTGGCCACACTGCTGAATGGCATTCCTGAAAACAAACAAAGCAGAGTATGAACGATACTTTCTGTGGAGCAGAAGAATCCTGTGAGGTTTCTGCTAAAGGCACAAAATATCATGTACTTCTGCAACATTTAAGGAACTGAGAGGACACCTTTTCTCTCTAATCCTTAAAAATAAGTAACACCACTTCTACAGTTTCATAGCTTGCAATTTGGTATGTCAAGCCTGGGTATTCTAAAGATTGAGAAGAAATCAGGGAGAAAAAGGACAAATTAAAATCTAATAGCTCTGTGTTATAAACTGGCACTGAGGTTTGTCAGCACATTAACAGCTCATTACCGAAGTTTTGTCCAAGTATTCCGTGCTCTCCTCCAGTCCTCACAGGCCAAATCCCTTTCTCCTAATGAGTAAGGAGGAGAATATTGTGTTTTGTGGTATAAATACCTAATTTCTTTTCAACATGAGACAAGGTTATTATTACTACCAGGTGTACAGTGTCTTGAGCCCCACAGGTTTCAGCCCCTCCCCGAGTTGTTCAAAGGTCTCTGACAGTGCAGTTGGACTGAATACCTCTTCCTTTTACAGGATAAATTGCTACAATGCCTTAAATGCCCAGAGTCCTTTTGGAGGATTCAAAATGTCTGGCAATGGGAGAGAGATGTAAGTATTATGCTGCTGTCTTCTGAACTGTTTTCAGCTCTACTAGTTAGTAAACATTGGTGAATCCTTCTATGCAAATTAAGATCAAGAAATATTCCCATCTGGGGATTGAGGCATAATATAAGATGACAAATTGCAAGTGGTTTACATGATTTACTTGTAACCTGTGTTTTCTGAGATTTTTTTTCCTAGCCATATTACCTAGCACTTTTGCAGAAAGATTCTCTCTTTAGTACTGCTGTGTGTTTGTTGACTGGTTTGGTGGTCTTGTTTCAGAGTTTTTGCCATATATTTTGCCTCTCTTGCTATTTTTTTCTTTCTTTACTTTTTCTTACATTTATTAATATAAGTGAATCTGAGTTTTATTAAAATGTTATCTCTTCCAGATTTATAAACAAAGTTAAATGAAATCAGGCCTAGAGAAGGCTAGAAAAATGTATTTACATCCCTTTCAAAAAATCACCTTCCATTTCAAAGCTTTTTATCTGTCTTATTCCATTTAGAACTAAGTGGCAGGTATTTTGAAATGGAGCTCCAAGCTCAAATACTGTCCCAGGTACCTAATTTAAAATCTTACCAGTTTTTAATTCTCATTACAATCACAAGGAAGTTGAGCAATTGCATCAGCCCCAGATTGGTTACACGTACAAAGGATTCAATTAATTTCTGTGCAGGAGGCATGTATACCAGATATGTCTCACCTAAGCTTTCAAAATAGCTTATGGCTAATGGCAAACTCAGCAATAAAACTAAAGTAAGGTCAAACTCTTTAAAACTTTAAATATGTTGAAGCATACAACTTGATCTATAAAATAAGCTCTATGTAGTCTGAAATATTTTCCCTCATTAGGGAGTACTTTGAATAACACATTCATACTAGTCTCCACATTCATGAGTTATGAGGTGATCTCACACTGGCATAAATATGTCAGCTCATCTAACTCTTATCATTGTGAAAATATTCTAAAACTACTAAGCTCCATAGAGCACATGAGTAACTTGACACCCAGAAGTGACCCCGTTGACTTCAGGGAGGTTAACTGTGCAAGCAAGATACTCACATATTGATAGCGAGGAGTTTTTGAAAGTGGAGGAAACCAACCAGGCAGCACTCCAGATCCCACGGAAAAATCTACGGTACTTGTATACTTGATTCCCAGCTAGAACTTTGAAAATATTCATCATAAACAATAAATGTTTGGAATGGCAGTAATCTGTATCTTGCAAAGATGCCTAAAAATCTACTTATGAGTAATTATTCTATCGCTTTCAGAACCTCTTTGATCAGATATCACCTTCTAATTCACCTCCTCCCCCCTGGATTAATATCTGCTTACTTTTTATTAAAATGCCACAGTTTCTTAGATCTCTGTTTTTAAGGGATACATTTTACAACGTAAATAATGTTGAGTCAGACAACTAAAGAAGAAAAAAACCACACTGAAAGAAACAACAACAACAAAACCAAACCAAAACCAACAAAAGAGATAGTGTCCATACATATGTGTGTTATTGCTAAGCTAATACTGTGTTACAGTCAAATCATAATTGTGTCACTGTGCTGCCTGTGCTAGCACTGTATTATTTGGGACTTGGTTTTTTTCCTGCATTTAATTTCACAGATTTTTATAACACATGGGGAAAAAAAATGAACACAGGAAGTTGAGATGTGCTGCACTCATTTCACACTCCCACAACATGTAGCAGGGTATGCACATAGCAGTAGAGCACCAGAACTTACGTACGCAATACAACTGATTCACATTAAAACTACTTTAAGAATACAAGAATATTGTAAGCAGTCTAAGAGGTTTTTTTTTTTACATTTACACATCTTCAAGGGAAGGAGGTGTCATTCTGTTGTCTGAATAGCTCTGAGATACAGGAGTGCATAGTTGCATTCCCAAAAAGAAGTGCAAGTCAGAGAATGGCTTGGAGTTATAATTCTTTTCCTTATCTTTTTTGTCTCTGAGATGGAAGAAAGCGTGTAATACTTCTTTTGGAAGAGAAGTTTGTTTCCTTTCCCTTACACCTACACAACCAAGAGATAGCATCATGCAAACTTGACCCATGGCCTCCTTTCTTTTCACATACACAACCCTTATTATCACTCTGATACCGAAGTGCCATCCAAAAAGACACAAAAGCAGCCATAGAACAGGATGTTACTGCTCCCTACTACCCTCTATTAGGCTGTGGGGACAAGTGAGACCTTTAATTGAACACACACAGTTTCTTCCACTCTGTGTGTCTGGAGTAACCCATCTCCCTATTCAGCAAGAGCAATTTTTTAACTTTTGAAGAATACTTGCCTTAGAATTCATCACAGTTGTCCACATCAAAACTTCTGGCCAGAAAAAAACATGTAAGGCCTTGAAGCCTTGAGCTGAAGAAACAAACAATAAATATATCTAATTTTGTTTGCCAGACCAAGATTAGAAACCAGCTGGCAGTCAGAACATAGGTAAAGCATACTGTGTATGCTAGGTCATTTTCTGACTTGCAGAAATGCATCCAACAGATGTCTGGAGCTAAGCTGCAGCCCTGCTGAATCAAGCAGAAGCATTCACACAGACATACCAGCATTAGTTACTGGGCTCCACGCAGCTCCTAATGACAGCTTCCACTGAGCCATATGGGAATGGTTCTGTGGGTCAGCCGAGTCTGATAAACAGCTGAAGTTTTTGGTCATTCTTTTGAGACAAATCCAACACTTTCTACTGAAAGGTGGAGGTGGAGTGGTCCAAGTCAATGGGATCCTTTCACTTGTCATAAAATCTTTACTAATGTATTTCCTTGCATGTATGTAGTCTCTGAGAAACCTTAAAATGCCTCCTGAATCATCAGTCTGAGTTGAACATCAAGCGTTGTATCACACATGAGGTTGGTTGACTGAAATGGACTGGTAAATACTGGTATTCCTGCCCAAATGAAGTGACTTTCTTTCCTGGTGTTGTATTTTGTTTAAAATGTATGGTGTAGAGATAAATGCAAAGTAGGCTATGCAACACCAAGAGCATACAGAAGGGCTTAATGGCTTTGAACAGTGGCCCCTCACTCCATTCTGAAAGACACACTTATTACAAAGAGGTTCTGAGGAATTCCCCTGAAATAATCTGTATGGTGAAGTTAGCATTAAATTCTGCACAGTCAAGTTCATCTTTATCCAGGGTTGTGAGGAGGAGTTCATTTTCCATAATACTCAGTTTGGACCTTCTCTTTCTTGAGTGCAAATATAAGCAGTAATTTTACTGGCCAGTGGTGTAGGTCTTGGGTGTTTGGACATTTTCAAGGTCTGAAAGGACAGAGGACAACACTCCCAACAGTTCCATCAATGGACAGTGAGTATTTCTGGGTTTAATGTTGTTCTGTATCTCCTTGTCAAATGCTGGAGCCCATCCATTGGAGGGGGGTGGGAGTTGACCTAAACTGAAATTTCATCTTCAGGTTTTCTGGAAGATGGCATGAAAGGAAAACCTGTGCAAAATCAGAAAACAACAAAAACCTATGCCAGGAATTTTCGCTCATATCTTAACTTTACCAAGAAATCACTTTGCAGGTTATTGCTTGATAAAGAATTAATGTCTGGTGTAAGCTGATGCTACAATTTGGTTTCTTTTAGGGGTGAATGTGGATTGAGAGAATATTCTGAAGTTAAAACTGTGACAATAAAGATCCCTCAGAAGAACTCCTAAAATGATGAAGAGCACGTGATGCCACCCTCTCTATTGCTTATGGAGACCAGCACTCAGGAATAAAAAGCATTACACAATATATATTTAAAAAATTAAGTTGCAACTTATATACTGGGCACATAACTGCGTCCCTAAAGCAAACCAACTCTGCATGTTTTCACAAAACTCTCCTGAGAACCATTACATCTTTATAAAACAAATCATAACAAGAGATAAAATTGCTATTGGGCATCATTTAATAACGGTTCTAGCTAGAAAACTGTTAAATGCAAATGCATGCACACACACGTTTATCTCTTCCTTAAATAAAGAAGTTTCACTGCTTTCAGGTTGCCTTCTCAAACAGACCTGCCTTGTACTGACATTCTAGATTCAATCATGGCTTTACAAGCCAGATTCTACCCAAAACACGCAATGAACAACATAAGTAAAATTGATGTTCTCAAAAATATCAAAAACTCTGAGCAGTAATGAGCCAAAAGCTGGTATATTGGCAACATTCCAATTAGCATGCTCACATAAAGAGATCAGACTGGGGAGGGAATCAAACCATTATATGACTAATGAAATCCAAATGCTTATCAGTGAGATTTGAATTTCACAACCCGCAGTGATTTCGTTTTCAGAGCTTATTTTCATAATTAGTTTTTGTCTTGCATTAAGCAAAAATCCTCCTTCACTTACAGCAACTTGAAAGGTTTTACCTGACTGCCAAAAGAGCTTGGCCAGACAGGGTGGGAGGGTGTTAAGGAGGACAGGAACAGATTCCCAAAGGCTTCACAGATAATTTCAGCTTTCACTGCTTGTCTAGCTTTGGTGTTGCTACTGTTGTTTTCACTTATTTTAAACAACTATATATGCACATGCAGACTCCTTTTGTTTGTTTGCTGTTAAACTGTCCATGGTAACACTGGGAATTAAGTATTTGTTACAGCAGGAAGAACCCAGCAAAAGCCCACCTGACAAGAAGTAAGCTTGACTTTATATTCTTACTAAATGAGGACTTGCAACCCTTACCATGCTTGTGAGCTTACTGGCTGGTACTGACTTTTCAATTTTATCTGTTCTCTTTTTTTTGGCCCAGGACAAAAATATGTGCAAGTTGTTTTAGAAGTGAGGTGTTTAATACCTATCACATTATTACTTGCTGCCCATAGAATCTCTTCCAACTTGTAACTAACAAACCAAACACCATCTCTTTCTCCCTCCCAATGGCAGAGCTCATTGATTCCCCGTACCTTTTTAAAAAGAGTTTTCATTTTATGTTTTAAATTAGAATTATGAAAATTTACTTTAAGAAGTACAGTAAATCATCTATGCTGGGTAGCTCCATTATATGGGATGTAAGGACAGAATTATGGCCTCAAGTGTAACAGTTACCGTAGCTGCAGAGTCTGTACTATGAACTGTTGAAAACTCGAGATCTGATCAGCAAATCACTTCTGCATGTTCTTAACTTCCTTTACTCTCTGAGGAATTCCTCATAAATTTGAAGTTGTGTGTGTCCTTAAACTTACTGCTGGATCAGGACAAGAGTATCCAGCACTCTGTAGTGTGGTGGCCCTCAATATTTTGTATTTTTAACTCATGTCAAACAGTATGTTTTTAAAGCAATATGTATACATAGTGTTATTCAGAAATGACAGTACATTTGCAGACATGGAGATGAATCAAAATATTCCTGAGTTGTTAAATGCAAATGCCATATAGTTTGAAATGTAGTGTACGTCAGAGTGAAGAAAACCAAAATACAGCAAGTAAGAGATTAGTTATCTTTTAAACTGCAATACAAAATCTGAAAACGGAGATTTTACTTCTTTTCTCCTATTTACTTAAAAAAGACTCTTCCTGTGCTAACAGCATTTACACCGTGTACTCTTTTGTATTCTTTTTGTGTAACTCGTATGTCTGTGCTCTATTCCCAGTACCTTCAGGTAAATAATATAGAGTTGCCATTTTTTTCAACACTGTCACTGCAGCTCCTTTTGATGCACATGGATTTGTGAAATCCTTATTTTAAATGTACCATTTGCATGGATCCAAGAAAACATTTTTCCAGTCCCCACAGTTTTTTGTTACAGTTTTTAATCATGTATATAGTTATATGTTATTAAAAAAGTAAAAGGATATTTTCTATGAAGTTTTTTCCATTAAAAAGGTTTAGAGAAAGACTTTAGACTGTGAGACTCCTTTCTTGTTGACAGAGCTATAAAAATATTTAAAGAAATATTTTCTTAGCAAAAGATCTGCTCTCACAGTAGCTTTATTTTCATTTGCAAAAGTGAATGAAGTAAAAGGCCAATTACATTTTCTGGAATATTATTCCAGCTGTATGAAAACCACTTGTGAGTTGCAGATCTAGGTCATAGCCAAAGTTCATCCTCACCCTCATGGTCATAAAGTTTAGCTATTGAGGAAGGTCTGAAATCATCAGAACCAGTGGGGTACCCTTGCAAACTGCTGCATCACAGCTTGAGTTTTGGATAATGTTTAAAAAAATCATGATGCCTTTTCTTTCTGTACTCAATGAGTCACAGAGATGATTAAATTAACACTCAGATCTTTTATGGAGTGATATTCTACTTTTCTTTAATTTCAAAATGCTAAAACGGGAGGAAAGGATGGATGAATGTTATTTGACAGCCAGTAAAATTCACATGGCCAGGTACTGTGCAACTCACATCCAAACTATTCCTTTATCCCAGTGTTACTTTCATTGCCAGGACCAGCATTCCTCCTTTGAAATGGTGCCAATTTGGATAAAGTAACTTACTTGGTTAAAAAAGCCAAGCTACTTCATTGTATGGCAAGCAACAGTTATACTTCAGTGTCACAGAATAATACTGTTGGTTTAATCAGCACTCTACAGGCAACCACACTAGACTAAATAGACTAATAAATCATGACAGACTAAACCAGATGGGATAAAGAGAATAAAACTTCATAATAGCAGTGAAATTGCATTCTCATAAAACAGTAGTGTTCCTGAAAGTCTGGGTTATCAGGAATATGTTAAGTAGAGTTTAATTTCTACTTAACTAGTGGCATGGACAACACTGTCACAGGCCTGGGAGTGGACAATTAGGACTTTCCATATTCTGTGTCTCTCTGACCTGTTTGCAACCTGTCTCACCACTCCAAGAAGTCACACAGGCACAAGCAATGGGGTGTTTTTCTGAAAGCAAAAGGAAGGAAGGTTGTTCTGGAGCCCACTGAAAACAAGTGTTGTCATTTAATAAAATGAGCAAAGTTCAGTCTGTAGTAAATAAGCAGTCCATGGAGTCCCAGACCGTGAAAGTAAATATGTCAATAAAAGTGTACACAGGTGTAGTAAAGGGAGAGTTTGGAAATAATTATGCATTTCTTATAGGAAAAGGATGTGAAGAAAGGCTAAAAGAACTTCAGTTCTGTGGCCTTTAGACAAAGCAATGGATACTCATATTACTTGAATAGCATTCACACTATATTGGTGCCCTGTTACAAAGAACACTCTTTCTCTTCCTCCCCACAGAGCCAGGATGAAAAACCTTGCCTTGCAGATGCAGAGGCACTATGCTGCAGTGCCCTCTTATTTCTCAGTTCTGTCCTGGAAAAAAAAAACACCATAATAACACTGAATTCAGGACACCAATTTAGCGAGAGAGCAAGTCGATGATGAGCAATACACTGTATTGTTTACTCATGACTCTCTGTATTGTCACACCTGCAGTTCTGGAGAGCTACATTTACAATCATCTTACATTTGCCTCCATACATCTCCATTTACTGCATGCTGAGTCCATCAACACAGGAAGTTATTTTTCTTGTAACAACTTCATACCACAATGACTGATATTTACAGTGCTACATCTATCAGGAAGCAGCAAATGCCTCTGCGGCTATTTGATGCCATCAGCATTCCTGACCCATTGAAACAGACTTCCCGCAGCACATCAGACTACAGTTGCATAAAATGCATCTTTCTGCCTTATCCTTGTTAAAACACAGAGTTGACTAATTCTTTTTGTATCTTCACTCTATCTTCTGTGTCTACTGATGGCACACAGGTATTGGGGAACTATGTGTAGCTCTGCCAGAAAGCTCAGGAACTTCTGAAGCAAAGCGGGGGGCTTCATGAAGTTGGGCCATTTATACAGACAGATTATGCTGATGTGAGAGTAGCGATATCATTTCATGTGACTAAAGTGTGGCTAGAATGTGCTACTACTAGAGCTTGGGGTCCTGCTTTCCTCTTCTACACAGCACAACATGGAGTGCTGGGATGCTGGTTTCAATAAGAACTTGCCTAATTCTTCTCAGAGGACCGGAACTGACACACTGAAATTCAAGGTTAACACAAGCAACAGATTATTGCAGCTGGCTGAAGTGCAAGTTCAGTCATTTTAGTGGTGAAGAGCAGGTTAAGCTGTCTGTGCAGCCACAGCTGCTTCACTGGGGCAGTGTTCAGCACCGAGTACTTGGCTGTCTAAGAATGAAGCCTAGAGGCTGTACACACACATATGACTGAGAATCTATCCCAGCACAGTGAGTGGCATTACAAAGGTGATTTGAGTCTTGGTCTGACTGAATTAAGTCACCAGAGCTGTTGCATAGTGTCCCTAATTCCCTTTGCTTACTGTTAGAGGGGGAGAAAAAGCACTGAGTGTCCCTGGTTCATAAGAATGGTTAATTCTAAAACAGTTCAACCAGCTGAGTTTAAATCCTGAAACCTGACTAAAAGCCAACCTTAACCCCCTAGCACAGGTGCTCTAGAACCCAGTTGCACCGGTAAAAGCACAGCTCTTTTTTTTTGACATCAACAAATTTAGGCCCATTCAAGCCACTGAATAGAGGGACTGCACTCATGATCCAGTGCTGCTCTATGGTGAGCGTCTGCGCCATTACTTTTCATGGGTTTATATAGGATGAGTTTCATCAAACAGCAGAGTTGCCCTGTACTGGGCACATACACAGCACATACATTTTTGGCTGTGCCTGCTTTGTCAGGAAGCACTCCAGGGAACATTATTTCACCCGATTTCAGGTGACATTTATAAACACATTACAGAGGACCCTTGCCATCAGCTGCAATGCCCCAAAGACTCCAATGCCAGGAAGGCCGAGACATCTGCTGAGACAATTCACCTTAAGGATTGATGAAGTCTGCATTACTGCTATGTTTCCCAGTGCATTACTGTAACCATTCCTTGTATTGTCATTTAATCAAAGTACCTAACATAAAATCCCATTATTCCAGGCTGGTTGTGAGGTGGTTTTATCTGCCTTTAGTCTCCTGATAAGACCTGCAAAATAAACCTGGATTGTGCATCGCCAACAGCCACAGACTGTATAAAAAGCCCCAGCTGCAGAGGTTGCCAAGAAGGCTGTGCACACAGCAGGCTGAAGTAACCCAAAAGGGTGCTTGCGAAATGTTTGTGCTGCTGGCAGGCAGCACATTGCCAGGACAGATCACACATCATGCATTTGCACATCAAATGAAGCTGCACTGGTTTGAGAGCATGGGAAAGGCCTGTCTTGAACGGCATGTGTCCTACTTCCTAAACATGTATACTTTACACTTTACACTTGGTTATTGGCCAGACTGAAAGTATCGCAAGTTCCCCAAAGCTTGCCGTTTTGCCTTTGAAGTAGAACTGTTTGGATAATGTTTCCTTTGGCAATTTATCTATGTAACAAAGCAGGAACTGGCCTCGCAACAATCCACCACTAGCTTTTTACGAAGTATTCACACACTTGTGTATATGCATTCACACACAATTTGTCCATTTTCATGACCTTGCTTAGCCCTTCTCCTTCTCCCTTGTAGTTCATGATGAGGTTGGTGCAACCTGTGCTAATATTAACTCAGTTCATTTTGGTTTTTTTTCCCTGCTTTTTGTATGCCTGGTTCAGTTCCCATTCTCTACAGCAGCTTAATTAGCAAGACATTTGTGTGCAGTTCACTCTTGCTGCCCAACAGAAAGAAAACGTGTTTGCACTGCTTCCTCTGGCAAAAGGGCTCCATCTCAAGGTCCACTGGGTTTCTCAGACTCTCCTGGAACCAAGAGATGGGACACAGAGCATGGTCTTTTGTGAAGCATCTGCTGTTTTCTGCTTTCTACTGGTCCAAAAACCTCTCCCACAGTCTTTGGCACTTGACATCCAATCTCAAAGCACAGTCAGTGCCTGGCAAGAGAGGCCTCCTTTTAGCTTTTAATTCTGAATTTCACAAACACTCAGGTTTCTGGGGAGGATGCTGAATGGTAAGGGACTCCTCACTCCCACCAAGAAACTGCAGATTAAGGACTAAAGCTAAAGCATTATCCTTGTATCTGATGGTCCTGCCACTTGCCAGAACTCCCAGCTCAT